CCCGGCCTCCCCGCCCCGCCGGCCCCCTGGCCCGGCCCCCTGACCCTTGTGCGTGGCCGCCCGCAGGTGAACCGCGAGTGCGTCCGCGGCCTGTGGGCCGGGCAGCAGCAGGAGCTGGTGTTTCTGCGCAACCGCAACCCTGAACGTGGCAGTATCCAGAATGCCAAGCAGGCGCTCCGCAACATGATCAATTCGTCCTGTGACCAGCCACTGGGCTACCCCATCTATGTGTCGCCCCTTACCACCTCGCTGGCCGGCAGCCACCCCCAGCTGCGGGCACTGTGGGGCGGCCCCGTCAGCCTGAGTGCCATTGCCCGCTGGCTTCTGCACAGCTGGGAGAGGTGAGCCCTGTACGCCGCCCTGAGCCCGCGGGGCTGAGGTCCTGGAGTGGGAAGCAGAGGCTCAGCGAGGTGAAGCAACTTCCTCCTAGGGCTCAGAGTGAGGAAGTGCTGGAGCCAGGCCTGGGCCCTCAGAGCCGACACCATCCCAGAGCTGACCCGCCTTCACGCTGCGCTCCCACAGTTGAAGGTGGCCTTTCGCCTTCAGAGCCGTCGATAATGCCTCTCTTAGAAGACCCTGCAAAGTAGATGGCAAAATCTCTTAGAGATGGGATCCTGGGGCTCAGCGATGTTAGCTGGCTTGTCCTAGAGCTGGGGACTTGCGCCTCTGCAGTCTCGGGCCCTCCCCCTGCCAACCTGTCCCCCCCCCCCGCCACCCCCATCCCAGGCTTCATAAGGGCTGTGGTGCCGGTTGCAACAGCGGTGGGAACGTGGACGACTCGGACTGTGGCGGAGGCGGCGGCTTGACCTCCCTCAGCAATAACCCCCCCCTGGCACACCCCACACCTGAGAACACAGCAGGTGAGCTGGCAAGGCCGGCCTGAGCCAGTGGGCGAGAGCAGCCTAGCTGAGATCTTGACTCTCTTATCTGTCTCCCACAGGCAGTGGCGACCAACCCCTCCCTCCCGGCCCAGGCTGGGGCCCTCGGCCTTCCCTGAGCGGCTCTGGTGATGGGCGCCCCCCTCCTCTGCTGCAGTGGCCGCCCCCTCGGCTCCCTGGAGCAGCCCCTGCTTCCCCCGCCCCCACTGAGGGTCCCCGGCCCTCAAGGCCCCCTGGCCCTGGTCTCCTCAGTTCTGAGGGTCCCAGTGGGAAGTGGAGCCTGGGGGGTCGGAAGGGGCTAGGGGGCTCTGAGGCAGAGCCAGCCTCAGGGAGCCCCAAAGGAGGCACTCCCAAATCTCAGGTAAGGGTCCTGTGGAAGGCTTGCGTCCTGAGCTACTCAGGTCTGCTTTTCCACCAACCTCTCTCCCCTCTCCTAGGCGCCCCTAGACCTCAGCCTCAGCCCGGATATCAGCACCAACGCCTCCTCGCCCCTCAGAGCGGCCCAGGACATTCCTTGCTTGGACAGCAGTGCTCCTGAGAGTGGCACACCCACTGGGACCCTGGGTGACTGGCCTGCCCCTGCTGAGGAGCGTGAGAGCCCGGCCGCCCAGCCCCTGCTGGAGCATCAGTACTGAGCGGCCTGGTACCCTCTGGATCCCAGCCCCAGCCCCAGGATTCAGCAACTTGGATCCCTGGTCTCTGGCCCCTTTGCTGGACCACAGAACTGAGTGGCTTTGGCTTCCACATCTGAATCCTCACCTCTGGCTGCCTTAGCTAGAGTATCAGAACTAAGTGGGCCAGATCTCTGACCTTGATCCTTGATCTCTCATCCCTAGTCCAGGGCCTGGGCTCCCCAAACTGAAGCAGGCAGCTTCCCAGCCAGGCCCTAAAAGCCAAACCCATGGGCTGGTCCCGCTTCGAGCCCGAGGCCAGGACTGACTTGACTTGGCCCCTGGGCCTGCACTGCCTGCAGGGGCAGCCCCCTGGCCTGGACCTGGGGCTGAAATGTGGGAAGGGTGGTTTCTTTTTTTCTTTCTTTCTTTTTTTTTTTTTTTCGTGCTTCGGAGACACCAGAATTAATAACACTATTTTTGATTTTGGTTGGTGTTTTCTTTTTCTGACTGGGAATGTTTGGGTGGAGGGTAGAGGAGGGTGGCCAGGTTAGGGTAGATGAGCACAGAGAGGGGGATAAAGAATGTGGGGCTGGGTTATGATGGAGATAGCGGTAAGACCCAAGTGGGGTTCAGGTAGGCTTAGGTCCCTTCCCTCACAAGTCTATTCCTTTTTTTTTTTTTAAGATTTTATTTATTTATTTATTTGAGAGAGAGAGAGAATGAGAGACAGAGAGCATGAGAGGGAGGAGGGTCAGAGGGAGAAGCAGAC